CAGTCTTTCTCCTCTCATCGCCTCCCCTCTGCCCTTGCCGTCCCTGCCGTCATGAGCAGCTCGAAGTCCGTTCCCGACAACCCTGATTCACACCGTGCGACCCACGGAGGAAAACTATGTGGAATATTACCTGGATGATTTCCACGGAAGATCACGTGTTATCAAAACCATTTTTACTGCAGCTACTCTAGGAAGTTGTAAAAACTAAGATGCACGCAAAAAATGTTCTCGAAAATATTTAAAAATTTTCCGAAGCAAAGAAGAATTATAACGAAAATCAAAATAAGTTGTCTTATTAGGAACTGCAGTTTTATATTAATCTAACTCAAAAAATAAAAATAAAATATTAATGTATATTCACATATTCCTTGTTTCAACATTTTCTTTAACGAAATGTATCTATAAATATATTGCTAATTTCCAAAGCGCGCATAAATTGAAAGAAATGTACACAGCCTCCGACAATGGGAGAGGTGTCTAGTTTCTTCAGATACCAAGGAAGTCAGGAAAATTTCAAAAACAATTAAGCTCAACTTCGAAATGAAAATGAATGCATTTGATTCAATTATCCCATCTGTACTTACACTACGCATCAAATGATATATCAGTGCGTCACTGCATACGACATTACTGACGTCATGCAACAGTAAGATCTAAGGGAAGTAGCCACCCGGCATTAAATATTTGTTTATCATCTGTTGCGTTATGGAACAGCAAACTTTTAATACTCTTGGTATGAAAGAAATGTTGTTCTGAATATGTACTGTATACCATGTTATTGCAGTACTCGTGAAAACTTCTTTGTTCAAGCATTTGATTTGTTGCAGTGTTAACAGAAGCATTTTATTTGTTGTTCTTGAGGTGTGTGATACTTTGCCGAAAAAACATTGAGTTCCGCAGCAATTTTGCTGCTGCAGGCCAACTAATAGAATACTAATTTAGTTTTAGCAGATGCCACAGAACAGAAAGTATGGCAAAATATGATAAAATGTAACAACACGTGATTAGATAATCAAGCAAAGAAAATAAGACCACTTTAGATTCCTCTTTCAATTCGATACTGCTTTTTAATCGTGACGATGGTAGATAAATGTATGATACAAAAATGGAAAGTCGTAACGAAATTAAAAATATCCTGCGTATCTGCTGTAGGAATATTTTATTGAGTGGATATATTATGTTCACTTAGATAAAGAAGATTAAATGCAACTAATAAATACAACCGAAGAACGGAACCTAACTCATTACACTGATAAAGAAACGCATATCAGCGACTTTCAGATCTATCTCCATAGAAAACAAATAGTTATAATATATTTTTGAGAAGTCCTAATGAGTTTGCCCTACTTGTGGATTATCTTGAGCAGCAAATATTTTCATGAAACACATACATTTTTGGGATTTAATAATATATTAGAATATATCGTAAATTCATCGTCAAATGTTCACAGAATTAGAAGGCATACAGAAACTACGAAAAAGTATAGAAATGGCTGCTACTTTCCCCATGAAATGTAAAAATGGAATTTTTTTTGGATTAAGTACGATAATTACCTTAGAGTTGCTATTTCCTCTATCAGTGGAGTACGAAGAAAGTAAGGAAATACCGTTGTCGTGTGAATGTTTTTCATTCCTGCTTTTCGAAGTTGGTCGGAGAAGGCATCCATCAAAGCTGAAAGAATATACCAGACATAAAACAACAGAAAACTATCGTATTTAAAAATTACTATTTTGGTAGTTAGAATTACATAATTGATCTTATTTCGTCAATTATGCTCAGAATATTGAGAATTCTTGAAGTGACTAAATATGAGAAACATGGAAAGGAATGCTATAAAAAATCATGGAAAACTAATGTTTAATAAATACTATTTTCATGTAAAATAAAAAAATGTTTGTAGAAATGGAAACCATTCAAATTTAGAGACAAGAGTGTTTATTTTTCCATGATTTTACATATTGTCACATACTACTTGACATAAAATAACATTGTAGCTTAGAAGTTCACATCAAGTTTGTTCAAGAAAATTAATGATAGTGGTGTATTCTTTCCCGATTAGAAGAAATTCTGATTAGTCCTGTTCGTAATAAGAATTATCCACATTTTTGGTGTAAGGAACCAACAAAACTAATTTTTCTGTTGAAAAATAGCCATTTTTTCCGCACTATTAATATACTTCCTCTATACTTCTTCTTCTTACATAAACAGTATGCTACAAAGAATAAGATATATGAAAGGGGTTAATAATAGTACAGAGATATCTCTGATGACTGTTGTAAAAAGTTTGGTCGATAATCATGAGAGTAATGGTTGCTACGCAATGCCTGCTAAGGTAAGCCACGCCCTCTGCTGAAGGTTTCAAAGTCGTCGAGCTCGAAGTTGGCTGCCCGACAGCAGGAGGGAGCTCCGCTGTCAATCAAAGTGTTATCGCGTAGCTACGCAGTGGAAAATGGTGTTTCTACGCCACTCACCTGCGACGCCCGCTTTGCACGCGGAATAGGTGACGGCGTCGCCCAGGCCGAAGAGCGCGGAGGCGGACGAGATAGCCACCACGTGACCCTCGCCCCGCTCCAGCATGTCTGGCAGGAACGCCTGGATCATCTGCACGCATCTCAACGTTATCACTCCAACACATCTCGTGACCGTTATCTCTCTACAGGTATCATCTCAGTCGCTATCGGGATTCATTTTGGAATAATATTTCGAATTTACCAATACTTGAGAATGGTCTTTAGTCAACTTGACGGAAATAAGAGGACAAGAAAGAATTCAGATGAGGAGGAAGAAGATTAAGAAAGGTTATAAGAAATGATAAGATAAAAAGGAAAATTAAATAACGGAAAGTAACATAGATGAGGCAACACACATCTACCGTGTGAAATTTAAAAATAGCAAAGAAAAGAAAGGAAATTTACCAGAATTTATTCCTTTGCTTTTAACAGAATACAAATAATATGTGTATCTAAAAGTATAAATGTTAGTCTAGTAATTTCCTCCAATTTGAGTAAAAAAAAATCGAACTGCATCTGAATTAGAACCTTTCAACCTCACTCTTGAGAAGTAGCTATTTTGAAGTATGATCTTAAATTCTTGTACGAGAGAAATGTACGAAAGGAATAGAGAAGAAAACGTTAGTGCAAGAAACATGCATATATTTTGTATGTTAATATCCAGAACTTACAATAACTAAAAATGTCTCAATCATTCAACGTAATAAAAATTCTTAAAGCCCCTTATATAAAAACTTACTTCGTGAAGATATCTTACACTTTTAGTCAAACTCGTAAGGTACAATCTTGAAAACGAATTTCTATTTTCTTGAAGTCAGTCTATATTATGTTTGTGGGTCTTGTTTAGTCATTTGGAATGTTATAAACATTTTTTATTGTGTTAACATTTCGGTGGTTATTTTACGTTTATCAAGGCTATTACATAAATGTACAATTATAATTACGTTTACTGCTCGTTAATTACGATAATTACAATTATAATACATAAAATAATGTAATACAATATGTACAATTACAATATATTTTATTACATATTTGTCTAATAGCCTTGATAAAGGTGAAATGAATACCGAAACATAGGCCCAAACAAATGTTTCCAAAAATTTATAAATAATTGCGTAACCTCTAGTCGTTTCAACACCCTCTTTAAGGCGCAGACAATCCCCAGCGTTCTAGTCGCAACCTCCTGCGCATGCGCACACTCACCCAGACGTGCGAGAGCAGGTTGACGCGCGCCATGCGCTCTATCTGCTGCGCGCCGTCCGCGCCGTCGGCCTCGGCCAGGTTGAGCACGGCCGCGTTGTTCACCAGCACGTCCACGGCGCCCAGCTCTGCGCGCACGCGCTGCGCCAGCGAGCGCACCTGCGCGCGGTCCGACACGTCGCACGCGAAGGCACGCGCGCTCGCCAGCTCCGCGCGCAGCCGCCGCCGCGTCGCCTCGGCCGTCGACGCGTTCTGGTCCACACACACCACCGTCGCGCCCAGCCGCCCGAACTCGAACGCCAGCTCGCGGCCCAGCCCCTGGCCCGCGCCCGTCACCTGTCGCGGGCAAAAGATAGCACGCATGCGACTGTGTCAGGCAGGCGCCGCTTGCAAGAATGGGTTGCGACGGTTGAAGTGCTCGCCGCTGCATTATTCGCACAACCGGCGCAAAACAGGTTTGCAGGAAGTGCTTGCCGGTGTATGAGCGCTTGCCGGCGTATAAGCGCTTGCCGGCGTATGAGCGCTTGCCGGCGTATGAGCGCTTGCCGGCGTATGAGCGCTTGCCGGCGTATGAGCGCTTGCCGGAGTATGAGCGCTTGCCGGCGTATGAGCGCTTGCCGGCGTATGAGCGCTTGCAGGCGTATGAGCGCTTGCCGGCGTATGAGCGCTTGCCGGCGTATGAGCGCTTGCTGGCGTATGAGCGCTTACCGGCGTATGAGCGCTTGCCGGCGTATGGGTGCTTGCAGAGGAAAAGAGACCTATCCTAAAGCTGATCGGACAAGCGAAGCTCGCGGGCATCGCTTACCCACTTAATTTTTGACTGTCCGGGATGAGTCGCGTCTCAGTCGATCGAGCTGACGTTTCGGCCATCGTGTTGTGGCCTTCTTGAGTGCTATACGATGCTGCCCGCTTGCACGGCCTGTCGCCACAGTGTCCCACAACCTGCTCCATCAAGAGAACAATACTGCGACGGCAGATTTACAATCGACGCAAGCCAGGCTCGCTCTTGTTTACCTATCTTACAGCATTGTCAATTATGCCTTCTTCCTTCAATGAAGCAGAGTGGGAGTCAATTGACAACCTACGAAAGCCCGCCATAAAACTCCTGCTAGCTCTTTTATGCCTGCCTCACAGTGTTCCACATACTTACGCAACTCTTCCGGGCCTAGGTTGTTATAGTTGAAAATTGTCTCCTTCTCAATGTTCTCATAATTTTCTCAATTGATGGAATAACTCCGGCAGATTTGAAACCAGGGCAAGACAGTCTCGCTTGTGTATGTCTGCCTTAAAGCGCCCATCCACACACGTCACGCTTGTAAACATCGCTTGTATGGGTTGTAAAAACGCCACTGCATTTTTCCCAGAACCTGCTCTATCAAGGGAATGATTCGGTCGCGACACACATCTCGTGAAAACTAGGTTAGTTAGCCCCGCTCACTTGTTATTGCATTATTAAAACATTTTTAATGGTATAACTGATAGCAATTAAACAGTTCATTTTCATAACCAACTATACACATCTACTAATATAAACATTAACCCTCGTGAGTAAAAGAACCTTTCCAGCAGATATTAAAAATTATTTATTTTCCTTAAGAATACAAATTGGAAAACCATTACTGTCATACTTACATCACATCTATTTGTTTTTAACTCCATATATATACATAGTCATGAAACCCCCCTGAATATTATAAATTTAAATCAAGTATATTCTTGGTCGTGTATATGAATACTCATTAAATTAATACAACATTTTTTAAATTTTACAATTATTTTCTACAGATGGGGAACTTTTTGGTAGTCTTTTCAATTACAATTCTCGGACTAATACGTAAATAATTTTTATCTGTTCTATTTCTCCGACTTTTGAGGTCCAAGACGAAAAAAAATTGTACTTTTTGTGTCTATTAATGTCGCGAACATAATTGTGTTATAACTATTATTCTTTATTATTGTCTATATTTTAATTAGTTTGCCCCCACAGCCAGAATACCCAGATCCTGACTAGTGTAGTATGGGCACTCAAGGTGTCAGTTGTTTCTGAAATGAGCCTCTTACCAAAACGACTTTCTTGACCATTTTCTTTTGCTTGGGCAGGAAGAAGCCCATGGCCCGGAGCAAGAGCAGAAGTCCATGGGGAATGAGCAAGAAGATCACCCACAGGATCTCCGCAGTCAAGCGCGTCCACTGGAAGGACGAGAGGTGCCTGCAACAGAAGACACTCGCGTCAGTAGGCTGCTGCAAAGCGAGGATTCGGGCCAGACTATGTGAACGACATTCGCCATTATACTATACTAGAGCCGATACCTCCCCTCCAGACGGGATAGCTCTTCAAGCAGCAAGCCACGCCCGATATCGCTCGTTCAGGGTATGCCAAGAGGAAATCGACTCCCACTTCAACCCTGGCATTTCTGAATGGGTGAAGACCAGAACGGTATAAGTGACTGAAGTTTATTAATTCTGAGAAAAAAACCTTTTTATTTTAGGATATATTTCAGTGGTAATGTATTTTTGTGGTTTTAATGAACAAATACCGTAGTTTTAATGATGAAACAATCCACCACGACGTTACAGAAATATTGATGTAATTAGATATAATGAAATAAACAGACTTGTCTGAATTAATAATACGTCACTTATACCGTTCTGGTTTTCGCCCATTCATTTAACCGAATTATAAATTAACATTTTGAGATTTATATAATTTTACTTTTACTTCAGTAATAAAATACACTACAAAAAAGCGAATGTTATCAGAGAATATTCACAGGTATTCTTGGTATACCAATAATACCATCTTTCCGTGAACTGAAATATATTTATAATTCTGCTATAAGGGCATTAATTCTACAATTTAAACATGTTTGACGCAGAGAAATCAATAAATAAGACAAAAGATTCTAATGGCCAAAGTTTAGAATTTAAAAATTACAATAAATTAATCTTTTGTTATTTTTAGATTTCCATTTAGTGAAAATATCAACTCTTCTTTGTTTTCATTATAAGTGTTTTCATTAGAAACGGAAAATAATGTACTGCGTCAGCGTTCTCCCAAGAACTCTTTCAATCGTCCAACTATCGCAAGTTATCGCGCGAACTCTACTTCCCAATTCCTTCCTCTCCGTATTAAAAGCAACAAAAAACGTCAAAATGAACACTTTTGCAACATTTAGCAGCTAAGAACTTTTCACTCTGTTTCGATGTTTTGAACATTCCAAAAAAAAAAAATTAAGTAGTTCGGAGCATGAATCTTCGTACTTAGTTATTCTCGTCCTCTTTTTTATAAGTGATTTAGAAAGACACTGCCTATGCCTTTTGATCACATGACTTCACAGAAGAAAATATACTAATTATAGAGGTTCAAATTGCACAAGAAATAGGCATTTTATTAATATTTAAATGTTATTTAAGTGTGAGGACTACACAATACGAATTGTAACTGTCATATTCAATTCTCTCATTTGCATCTGAATTGTTTTGCCCACTGGAATTCCAATCTTCTCCAAACAAACCACAAAGTCTTGCGGACAACGTACTATACTGACGACAATCTGGTTAGCAAAAAAATTCCCCTCACGATGATACATTGCATTTTGACCGGCAACAGTAGAAAGTGGTAATGATCGATTTTCACACCTCAGAGCGTGCTCGGCGCGTAATTCACAAGTCTTTCCGTGGCGAAAAAAGAAGTTTCAGTAGAAAATTCGCGTTACCTTCCGATTCCGCGGCCACTCACCGTGAAAATCATCCACACGTTGAAGCCAATACACGGAACCGAAGCGCTACACATTGCTTCCGGTTGCCAGCGTCGGCGCTGTACCCACCACAGAACTGTTATTCAATTTCCTCCGTGGCGACCGAGCAACGGGACGACGAGAGCGGGCTCCGAATCTCTAGTGGGTGGTCAGGGATGAAGGATGGGGGACGCATTCGGAACGAGTAGAGATCCGGGGAACGAATAGGGACCGGGGAACGAATAGGGACCGGGGAACGAATAGGGATCCGGGGAACAAAATAGGCGTCCCGGGAACAAATAGGGATCCGGGGAACAAATAGGGATCCGGGGAACAAATAGGATCCGGGGAACAAATAGGGACCGGGGAACAAATAGGGATCCGGGGAACGAATAGGGTCCGGGGAACGAATAGGGATCCGGGGAACGAATAGGGATCCGGGGAACGAATAGGGATCCGGGGAACAAATAGGGACCGGGGAACAAATAGGGACCGGGGAACAAATAGGGACCGGGGAACCGGATCTGTAGGAAGGGGCGCCCCGTTCCGAAAAAATCGCAGGCACACACGCACCCAGTCCCGCGGACGTCGGACAACAAGAATAATAAAAGGGGGCCTTATTTAGGCCGGGGTGATATATGCCCACCGGACGTGAAATATTCGCTTTCCATGCAGAAGTTACGATTGGCTGGTTCACCCCCCCCCCCACGTCCGTATAAATCTCTTGCATATATCTTTGCTAAATATAACGTATGGGTCACCTGCACGGCGTGCAAAGGGGAGGGGATGCGTGGGAGGAGGGCGTGGTGCAAGGGGAAGTGGGGCAGAGGAGGTGAGAGACTCAGTTGAATGGGACACATGGGCGAGTGCGGTCACCCGCGACCGAAAGCGAAATCAACAGAAATGTCCGCTACATGCTCGTAATGATGTCGCAGTCGACCTCGACTCTTAAAGCAGTGCTGAGTTTCGTCCTCGGTCGTGAAATTATATTACTCTCGCAATACCATTTATAATGCTGCACTATAGATTTAGAAAAAAAGAAAATTTGGATTCCGTGTGATTAAACTAATTAAACTTAAACTATTTCAAACAACTCAGATCAAGTTAAATTATCGTGTCAAGTAGTTTTCTTGTCCTAAGATGCATCCGTACAAACCTTTCCGGTTAACTTTCTTCGCAGATTCTCTCTTTGTCACACATTTGTTAATTCTCTTATAACTGCCTGTTTCAACAAACATTTTGAACCTTTTTATGTATTATTTTATTTGTAGAATTTTTTATTTTATTTCTTCGCTTGTCGTTGTCTCTGCCAGGTGATTCGTTTCAATTTTTTAATTTGTTTGAAAACGAAGAATAATGTTCCCGACGGTTCCACTGCAGAAATCAACAAATCTGTGCTTTCAGTCAATTATTATCTCCTCAAAATGAAAAATGCGTAATTATTTATGTAACGATATTGAAATGAGAATAGAGATTTTGTGGCTGTAGGTCGTGAGCACAGAAAAGTCAGCGAAGCTTCTCAGTGCAACTGGAGACACCTAGAGTACATTAGTGGTGTTAACTAATAGGAAGCGAAGACGAAATGCATACCGAGTGCGTCTGAAGAGAGGAAAATGAGTGGAACAAACGATAAATGTACCACAAATAAATAGACATGTGAATTTGTAAACGCAAGTGCGCCACGTGGAATGATAAGTCATTTGTAAAAGAAGGGCTAATTGAAAATGGAGATAGAGGAAGGGAGGGAATGAGGGAGATAGAGGGAGGGAGATAATTACATGAGTCGCAAAGTAATCGACAGAACGCACAGTAGGGTGAATGACGGAAATGATACGAATGGGCGACAAGGCAGATTGGGCAAGATGATAAACAAGAGATTAGGAATCAGCGCAAACAACAGATCGGGCTATAGAATTTAAAAAAACAACAGTTTTGCCAACAGAATAAAAGATAGATTGACCATCGGGATAAAGAACAGATTGGACCAAAAAACAAAAGACAGATTGAGCCAAGGAATAAAGAACAAATCGAGTTACAGGATGAAGAACAAATTCGACAACAGCATACAACACAAATCGAGCTTCAAGATAATGAACCTATGGAACGTTCGGATTCGCAACAGGGCGACCGAGAGGGCGAAAGCGTTAGCGAATGAGCTGCGGCGAGGCCGACCCGCCCCTCACTCGCAGCCGGCGCGAGTATTTCACAATTACGCGAGGAGCGTCGGCCACACGTCATGCAGGTGTCGGATGGCGCGTCGCGTTTATTGAGAGCGAAGGCCGCCCGCGGGTGGATTCGCGGTAACGAGTGCGCCATGACACCAAACAACGCCACCACCACCACCACCACCACCGCCGTCGCTGTTTAAGGGGCGTTGGTGGGCTGTTGGCACCGACTAAAGCTCGAATAAACGTTACGATTTAAGCACCGCAGTTAAGAATATTTTTCGTAGAATTCTTAAAATGTTTGGGTTAGTTCTAAACTCGCAATATGATAATCGCTGATTGTGATGCACACCTCTATTTAAATAGTGGATTACTTGCCTAAAAATAAAAAAAAATGAACTTATTATATGTTACATTAATTTATTTTAGAAATCCCTAGACTAATACAGTAGTGGGCCTCTTGGAAATTACATCGTTTGATACTTCATTTAAACATAGCCACTCTAGAATTTATCCCTCTGAATGCATTTGAGTGTTTTAAGTCAAAAAAAGAGTTGGTGTTGAATTATTGAAACGACTATTAATAGGATGTTTTAAAATTATTTAAATACAATAAAAGGGAAATAAATAATTTGTTTCTACTCTTCACCGCTAAACGATATGTCCCTAATCTCTGCCATTTTGAAGTAACTGGGAAGCCAATTCTTATTTCACAAATTTTGTGCTTGCGAAATGGAATCGTTACAACTGAAGTTCCACCTAGATATAACAGTGGTTGATAGTTTAATATCGTAGCCTCTACGAAACGGGGATTAAATCTCTTTCAGTTCAACAGTAAGTTTCCTTGAACATAGACTGTTCGCGACAGGTTTCTCCGTTGCGTCTTTGACCTGCAAGTCATATCACAACTGCCCCCCCTCTTCGATCAAGCATTTAATCTTAGGAATGGACGAAAAGGCTCAGGTACTAAGAATCATAATAAAGATAAATTGATACAGAGGGCACAATGTTGCCACAGACCGTGCATTATGTCACCTTACGATTCAGTTACCACTCCACACTAGCCGATTACATGTGATAACGACAGTAATAGTACACGCTATCCACAATATCTGTTCATACAATACACCTTAATATTCACCTTACTATCGACACTTCAAAGACGCTCATTAGATCAATTACAAAATTCGGGTCCGTGAGATTTATTTTATAATTGAGGTGACAACTTTTCACAAATACCGGAGGTTCTGAATCGCTGCAACGGAACTGACATTACCTGAAACAGTCAACCAAATATACCTACAGGGATTCAGATAGTTTCAGAGCTGTGGCTTAAAGACTTCAGGTGGTTCAATCAATATAGTTGCAATACATATTTTTAAGAAACTAATTACATTCAATTTACTTATATTTAAAATTAATAATAATTCTAATGAATTATTATATATTTTAAATTAATTGCCATAACAATTTTTGAAAACGTTAAATTACTACAGAAGGATGCAACTCTAGCACTGACAGCTCAACACCACGTTTTTCGGCATGTTGCGAGCTCCATGTATTTACGACACTACTTCAGTGATAAGATCGACTACTATTACCTCAAAGATAATATCAAGGGAGTGTATAAGATGTCATTAATATTTTTAAAACGGGCTTGTGTCAACTCTGTAACAATGTAGAAGGTTTGCAAGTTATATTTGGCAATATGGTATGCAATATGACCATATAACAGTCAAATATAACGGTATTGCATATAACGGTCAAATATTTTGTTCCATTATTTCTAAACGAACGTCAACATTATTTCAGCAATTTAGCAAGCTAAGATACACGTTTCTTTCAAAGATTGTTTTTTATTCCACGAAAACAGTAAGTCATGCAATTTTAAACATTAAAAGCAATTTCGTTTATGTAAAATAAATGAACAATATGAGCATTTCTCCCAAGGCAATATTTGACGTAGGAGAAACACGGTACACATACATTACATACTGATTAGGTAATTATTTTGTTATAACATTATAAATAATTATTTTCAAAAATTATCCTCACAAACTCCAATATCTTCCCTTTGCAAAAGAACCGAGTAATTTCCGCGTTTCCACATCCAGTACACATTATTTAATGAAGTATCTTATTTGTCATTCGATTCGTCAGCCAAGAGCCGAGGTCTGAAAGGTCAACATGTTGACTCATTTCGTCACCGTGAGATTGCGAGGAGGTGATACAAAATTAAAATTTCAGAGTTCATCGAACACTCACATCGGCTTGACGCAGTAAAAGTTCTTGGTATCAATGTTGCACAACATATTCAAAATTATCCAACTGACAGAGTTCGCCATCGGATGAATTTTTTCGACGAACGATTTTAGAAGATTTTAATTCCAATACAAGCGAGGGATTAAGTTTAACAGTGCGTACTCGATGGGTAATTTTCCCTTCCATTTGCAAAACGTTTCGAAATGATGGCGCTCGAACGACTCAATTCGCGAGGAAACAAGTGGTAATAGAAATGAGAGAGAGAGGCACTTCGACAGTTTCATCGCAGTACTATTGACGTAATTTGGTTAATCATTTGAATGAAACCTTCGTACATCTCTGATGATATTCAATCCAACCGACTGGCTTGCAAGGAGGAAACGCGATTGTTCTTTTGTAATAATATTTCGACCATAGCTCTTTCACGTGAATTCATGTTGACAAAAATATGAGAAAATAATTAATAGAAGATAATGAAAGAACATTTAATGCATTAACAAGAATAAACGAAATCATTCAGATTTAATTCAAATACTGTTTTAGTAACTCTTAGTAAATAGAATTATTTACGTTTACCCAGAAAGTACCTAGTATTCTTCTTCTGTGCTAATACGACTCCTGGTCGCGTCGTAGGTGTGAAACAGCTGATTGACAACCATGTGAATATACAGACGAAGATTGCGGTGAATCCCCACTCCTCTCTATCAACCAACGCCATTTCAATATGTTTTTTGATACGGTTGTCATCATTGTTGTATGTAATATTTTCAATTTAGTTGTAATTGTGTGTTTGAAATGATTCTCATGAACAATCCCAGCATTTACAAACAATAACCCTAATTAAAAATTCGGAAAATAAGGAATATTTTAAAATATTTATTATAATGAGATATTCAAAATGTTTTTGAAGAGGAACCCCTCTTTGTTGACTTGGCAGCGGTTCCTCATTCGTAACCTCCAACATTATTGACCTCAGACCGGTTACGCCAACCTAGCTTCGCCTCTGCGTCTAGACAAGCAAGATACGCTCACAAGAGCGAAAACAATAAGTCATAATGTATACTCTAGGCTGCGCGTAGGGGAGGTCAGGCGGGCCGTGACCCCTGAATGTTTTGAAAGGGGCTCCGTAGCCTTAAATATGGAATGTATTAATGTGTTAAATATGTTAAATCCGTAAATTACCCTTTTTTATCCAGATCATTTAGGAAGCTAATAGATGACATTTAGGAAATGGGGTCTCCGAGCCCATTGGCAGTCCTATAAATGGTGAAATGTAAAATAAATTGAGATTTTTAACCTAATTATTAATTGGGCCAATAAAGTTTTAATTTAATTTTAATTTTAGTAGGTTTTATTTATTTTCTAGTAAATAATGTCATACAAATGAAACAGTTTTGTGGAAAAGAAGGCCTGGAAATGTATCTGCCACCCTTCTAGTTCTACGCTACGTTCGCTTAGAATGTGAACAAACCTACCAAAAATACTATCGGTCCAAATAAGCTTCCTGCTTCCTACATACAATCAGACCACATTATAAGTTATGTTCAATAATTAATATCAGGATAATAGTTTAATAGTTGTGTTTCAGAACTATTCATAGTATCTGAGAAAAAACAGTACACGTTAATTTATAATCCAAATTATTTTCAGCACATTGTGTAGTATATTACAATTAATACCATCATTAAAACTAAAAAGAAGCCCTATGTATCACCGAACTACAAAGCTTCTAATAATACAGAAATATTGAACGTATATGGAAATTAAACGAAAATAAATTATAATCTTTGTTTTTAAAAAAATACGGTAAAGCAATGGAGTACAGATTGTACACTGTGGGAGCGATCCCAGGATGGAGCAGTCAAATTTTTAAGAAAAATGTAATTTGTAATAAAATGAAACCTCTAAGAAGTTACTGTGACATAAATTGGCAGAGTATACTATTAGAAAAACATTCATTCTTACTTACCTTTTTTATGACAACCATGCCCAGATAATTAAAAATATTAAAAATAATTTATTTTTGTACGTATTACGAAACGATATGCCATTTTATTCTAGGCATAATGGAGATTTTTCAACAAAAGGAGCTCAAAGTAGGATTAGGTATGCTTATTTATTAATCCCACCTCACAAACCAGTGTAATTGATAATCACAAATAATATTCGTACGTCAGTAGAAAAAAATAATATAAAAAAACATGAATGATTTTCTAACCACTTTATGCAGAGTAAAATCACTGTAGATGAGCAGATATGTGAGTAATGAACCTTTCGTACGTTGCTATTCGACACCAAGTATCGAATCCCACTGAATGTACGTGATATAATTGTTGTTCAAAACGATAATCAATTAGATTTAGCAAGAATTGTTCCGCGTTTGCTACATCCTACTTCATTTCATCAACGATAATCCACCACACTATTACACCAACAGTTTAACCTTATTTCCTTATTGTGTCACTTCTCAACATTTCCTGCGACCTCGTCACTCAGGAAACTCCGTCGATAAGTTCGAAATTACGAAAACGAAAAATCACTAAACACCGCGCAATCTCAGCAAATAAAGCACTAGCAATTAGGTCACTCACCCGCGTTCCACCATGGCAGACGACCACTCCCGCCACTTCCGCTCACCTCCGCTCACCGCCTCGCGCACCGCTGCACTAAGACTGAAGCCAGGGGCGTCGCCTTATCGGGAGCTGCGATAGCGAACGGGTGCAATTGGCAACACTGGTATCTCGTGGACGTCTGAGTTCCGGAGATACTCGCGATAACAACGGGGACGTTGGACTGTATTTGAAGTCAAACATTGTTATCCGCCCTCCGTGCTTAATGAATGATTTTACTTGCTAACGAAGGTGAGCTTCTTCCGTTAGTGTTGTAACATTGAGGTTTATGCGTGCCGTTTTCGAGTGTCGGGTTAGCTTACAAACAGGTATATTTTATTTCAACATACCACTATGTATTGGGAAAATTTTTGATTTAAAATACCACTTGTCATGAAATTAACAAACAAATTAAGAATGAAGAGGTTCAAAGAAAGTCACCAAAAAAACAACGAATTCGATTGAGTGCCTAGTCGAGGCACGATTGATTGATTGGGTCCCCTGGCGCGTCAACGGCTAAGGTCATTAGTCCCGTAAGCGGAGTGCATGCTTTTATGGTGTTGTTCTTTCCCCAATGGATGGCGAGATCCGGCGCCGACCTTCAAGTTGCCCGTGGCTCGTTTGTTCGGATTCTTCTTGTATATTCATCTGGTATTGATGATGAAAATAATGGAAAAGCACCAGTCAGAGTAGTCGGCAACTATAAGTTTCCTCCAGGCAGTGACTGAATTCGATCTGTGTAGCTAGTGCCGAAAACCTTGCCACCGTCGAGACTTGAACCCTTGGACCTCCCGATCAGAGACACTGCAGTCCCGATCAGAGACACTGCAGAGACACTGCCTTGATACTTTGAAACTGCTCAGTCGGTAGCATGATTTCATTAATACAACCATAATTTAATTCTAAATTTCGTCCTTAACATCGAACAATAAAAGTTTCCTGAGACAATACACAGAAAGACCGCTTGGGCAAGAAAATCAAACAATGCACTGATCTGGGGAAATACAACTTTCTGCGCACATTTTCAACAAGCTCTCAAGAGGCAAAAGTGAGTCAAGATTTATAGAACAACATCACATATTGAAAGAGGCAACCGAAGAGAGGCGTTCCACAAAGTAGCGATAGATTATGCAAATACGGAGGCCATCCAAGCCCAGAATATTTTCTGAATAAGAAGTACCCTCCATTCTAGCAAAAAAGAACCGCCACCCAGATCGTTTTCAGACGCGACCGAGGACCGGGAAATCCCGTCGCTGAAACACCCAGATCAAATAGCAACACTCCCCCAAGGCTCCAAAAAAATATTCGTTTCCAATCCTCGACCGCTTTGCACGGCCGTGGGGGCAACAGTGCCAGGGGAGAAGAGAGGGGTTATATGCGTAAATAAAGACGTTTATCCCCAGCAAGAAAACCGCCCTGTCTGCAACGCCACGCCACTCCGGGGACCATAAGGCATAAGTAAGGAGGAAGGATCGCCAAGCTAGCTGGTCGCGGTGGCGGTGACGGTGACGGTGACGGTGACGGTGACGGTGACGGTGACGGTGACGGTGACGGTGGCGGTGGGCGGTGACAGGGGCGGTGACGGTGACGGTGGACGGTGGCGGTGGACGGTAGCGTGACGGTGCGGTGGACGGTGCGGTGGACGTGACGGTGGCGGTGACGGTGGCAGTGGCCGGTAACAGGCGGCGGGGGGGAGGGCGCGGTGGCAGTGGGTACCGGTGGCATATGAGGCGACGATGGCGTTGGCGGCGGAGACGGTGGTGACGGTAAACGTAGCGGTGGAGGCGGTGATTGAGTCAGAGGCAGAGACATGTGTGGAGATGGTAGTGGGGTAATGGAGATGGTAGTGGGGGCGGTGGCTGGAGACAGAGAAGGGGAAGTGATTTCGTTGATGATGAGGGTGTAGGCAACTGAGGTAGACTTGTAGATGGTAGAGACCGAAGTCAAGGTGGAGGCGAAATTGGAGGTGGAGACGGTAGGAGGAGGCAGAGTCTGGGAAGAAGCGGAGTTTGAGACGAGAGGGGTGGAGTTGGAAATGGAGGTAAAGGGGATATGAAAGTAGGAGCGGAGACAGACACACGACGGGATGGAGGCCGATATGAAAGTGGATGGGGCGGTGGATAAAGATGTGGATGTGGAAGTGGTAGCGGAAAAGGAGTCCAAAGTTGAAGCGGAAATGAAGGAGAAAGTAAAGGTGCGGTCAGAGATAGAAGTGAACGTGGAGGCCAGCATGAAGTTGGTGCATGCGGAGGCGAAGGCGACGGCAAATGCGACGGCAGCATTAGTGGCGACGTTTGTGGTTCCGGCGGCGGCTGGGGCGGTGGCTGCGACGGCGACTGGGGCGGTGGCTGCGACGGCAGAGGCGCGGAGGAGCCAGCGTCGCCGAAGGGGGGAGGAGGGGAGTGAAGTAGGGGCGGCGACAGCCATGGTTTTGCCGTCGTCGGCGCTCGCGAGGGGAGCAGGTTCAAAATGTACATTCAGAATGAAGCCACGGAGATCCAACGGGTGGCGGCGGCGGCGGCGGCGTGGGCGGAGACTTTAAGAGGCGACTAGCGAGGGCGGAGAAGGCGAAGAAGAAGAGGTGTAGGGGGAGGGGGGCGAAAGACGACTCATCAGGCGTCCACGGGCCCCCTTGCAAGTACCAGCACTTGATATGCTAATGCTATTCCTCCGGCCTCCGTCGCACCGCTACTCCAGCACGGCCAAGCCTCTGTTTGGTATTTAAATGTCCGCCTTCTTCTTCTTGTGCTTCTTCCCCGCCGGATACCGCGTACTGAGAATTTTGCTCCTCACCGCCGAGCTTGCAACAATATTGTGATACACTCATTTCCTTCGAAGCCCCGTGCTTTGTGTGCGGCAAACAGAGCGGGGACGAGAATGCGGCGGAACGCAAATATTGTCAGGAAATGAAGACGTGTCTGGGAAGGAAACGCGTTGAGAATATAGCTTTCAAGAGCCAAATCTTTCCGTACCCACCGACGAAACCCATACTAATTATGTAAATGGGCGATTATCATCTCATTATATTTAATAACCCTCGTAACCTGGAATATTTTTGCCTTTCTCAACCGTTCCTCGTGCCCATGACTTAAAAAAAAGATACGATCTCTTATCGACATGGCAGGGCAGCTTTAACCTGTAACCGACATTGCGAAATATTTCATTACCAAGCCGGCACTCCTACAATAGTAATATTGACCGACACTGAAAGGATAAAACTGTAAAGGTCGTAAATGACTCAATTAAGACATAACTCCGTGTTGTGTTAGGATAAAAAAATAAGCCAACTAATTGAATTGCAGCAATCAAAGCAATTGCGAGTCAATCTCACATCGTACCGTTTGGACGCAGTCCAACTATGAGTTCCCGGCGAGGAAGAGTTTGTGTATATAACTGGTTGTGTTTATTTACAGAATTCATTCGAATTCTTAAGTACACTGCCAGGCGAGAAGCGAAACGTCGGTACCGTAAGTAGCATTGAAAGAAGGCGGAGGTCGAAAAACAAACAGATCTCGTATCGCCATCGTCACTCCGAAAAGCGCCGCACGGGGGAGTGTTGTCCCTGGAGGGAGGAGGGGGTGGGTGGGAGTGGATTGAAGCGGAGAGAGTTGGGTAGGAGCGGGGATAGGTTGGAGCGGGGTTGGTGTAAGCGGGGGCTAAGCAGAGCAGGGAGGATGAGACGAAGTGGGGCTTGTCGAAGTGGAGCAGGGCAGAGTGGGTACGGTAAGGTGGGGCGAGGCGGAGCGAATTGGGTGGGTCATGGGTAGGGAGACGGAAAGCAATAAACGAGGCGAGAGAGGTGAAGCGGAGAAGAGCGAGCGAGACGGAGTGGAGGGGAGAGGGATGCGGAGGAACGTGGGCGGGATGAAGTAGGAGGATTGTGGCATGCCAGAAGAGAGCGAATGGAATGGAGCGGGAAAGGATGGGTGGAGACCGATGGGAGAGCGGGTGGATCGTATTCAAGGCGGGACGAGGGTGGAGTGGACGAGACGAGACGGTGCGTGTCGAAGAGGAGAGGGCGGAGTAGATGGAAGGCGGCGAAGCGAGAGGAGCTGGGCCGGAGCGGGCGGATCTCGGTGGAGCGGGCGGGGCGGGAGTGGGTTGATGGGGGCACGTTATGGCAAAGCCGGCGGAAAGGGAAACCGGCAGTCGAGACTGAGGCCAATGGAATGGGCTGGTTGTGCGGGGATAGGACGGACTGGGTTGCGACGGCTTGAGTGAAACTGGGGGGGGGGGGTGAACGCAAACGGTGGGAGGGACTGAGTGAAGTGGCGGGAACGTGGGAGCGATGCGTGACGGATCGTGGAGAGGGGCGGGAGGACGAAGAGGAGCAAGCGAGGCTGGGGTGGGCGGCGGAAACGGACGGCGCGCGTGGTGTGGGGGCTGGGGTGAGAGCGAAAGAGGATAAATTAACTTCTCGGAGGGCGGCAGCGCCGGCGGCGGAGCGGCGAGCAACTGCTCTCTTTGATGCGCTGCGACGGGGCGCGATCTGCCGAGGCGCCGCCTAATCAAATCAGGAAACACTTGACGAGCGGTGCGGTGCGGCGCGGCGTGCTGTGTTTGGAGGCGGAGGAGCACGCCCGCCCGCTGTGAGGCTCCCGCCCTCCGCCTTGGGAGTCTGGCTGTGCGGGGAGACAGTTTGGCTCGGCCCAGCGAAGACGCGAAGTGGAGTCTGGGCGGAAAGTTCAGTGTGGACATGACGAGAGGATTTTTCAGTGATAACTGATTATTCCGATTATTCCGAGTGTGTTTTAAAGGCTGTGAACATTAGTCCCGTAAGTGTAGTGATTATTATTATTATTATTATTATGAGAGTGTTCTTTACCCGATAGTTGGTGATATACGGCGCCGACCTACATGTTGGCTAGTAGGGTTTTCCCTTTTTAGATAGCTCCATCCAGCGTGCCCTGCTGTACCAGAAAAAGCTCTAAGCTCCTAACTGGTTTCCCGGCATGTGAAGGTAGAGAGTAGTATAGAATATGTAAGGTTAGGTGTATGTCTAACGGGAGGGTAAGAAAGGAAGTGGAAGGAAATATCGCGTACGGCTTGTGGACTTTTGGTAGCCATGG